GTAGAACCACATTCCGGAAATAATATTTAATGCCTATATATGTATATATATATATACTTAGTAAATGAGGTGCGGAATAGATTTACCTCCACGTGGTGCACCCTGGGCAACGTATACACATACGGAAAACAAGTCTATTAACTGGCAATTGACTTCTGACTTCAAACTACCATGACCCAACTGTATATCATATTCCACCACTTTCGCAGTACTCACCTTACCTTTTTCTCAACCTTTGAGTCTGTCTATCTCTTTTACATCCTTGAATCACTTTTCTGCTCCCCTTTCTAATTTTTCTCACTTTCATGTTTCTCCACTCTGTGAAGCCTGAAGTCAACTAAAGGGCTAATGATAACTATCATAACGCCTGACATTTGAAATAAATATACTTAAGAAATAATAATATTTTATCAATTATCGTATTAACGTTAAATAAACATAAAAACAAGATTCACACCAAATACTCCTCAGAAGTTACCTAGTCTGCTTTGATATCACAAGAACTGGGTTCATAAAATAGGCAAAGCTATTTTTGGAATTGGGGTGCTTTATTGATTATGTCAACTTCTCTTCCAAATCGATCATTCCCATTAAGTTGTTAAGAACTAACTCAGTGAGGATATTGGCTTTGGGAAAAAAATATCAATCGTCAGAGCGGCTTTGACATTTTTACTTATGAAAGTCAGTCACGAAATTCACCATCCGGACATTTGTCATAATCTTAAAACAGGTGAATTTAGTTTTAAGAGTCAAGGTTATTTTGATTGCCATTTACACCATCACTGCAATAACATTCTATTAATAGGCGGTGGATTCAAATAGAATAAATCCATATATATATATATATATATCTGTGATTGTCATCTACACTGTATTTGTGTACAAAATATGTGACAATGTTCAGAAATTCTTCTCACGTGATTCCTTCTCTCTGGATCGCAGCAATATCTTGTCCTAAATGTCCAGTGTTCACTGACTGGATTATTAATCATGTTGATCGCTCATTCCAATTAATTTCATTATCTCTCCTATGTGTAGAATAATGAAAAACTAAATTGGAAGATATTTAACACCTTAGAGTATCATCACACTGCGATTGAGAAACCTACATCTGTTATGCAACTTTACTGGTGTAAAAGTTAGTTTGAGATTTTAATTTTACTTAACTATAAAATACTTAGATAAAAATAAGCCAAAATTTTTTTGTCAAAATTAAATCCCTATTAATGTAATTATTAACAAATACTTATGCTATCTTTCACTGAAGTCAAAGGATTTGCGTAAGCATGCTTTCACTTATAACTCTGTTTTATTTTCTTGTGGATTAATCTAAGCAATTTCATGCACACTTGAACGTTCTTTAGGGTGCGGTAGTGCGTGCAGAGAACTTGTGGACTAATCAGCCATTAAGGTTCATTCGCGTAACGATAAATGCATTCAAAAAATAAGTATCTTTGACGCGAGCATAAATTGTAATAAGCACTATACTCTCAATACTATCTATATCACTAAGGTGGCTTAACTCAGTCCGTGAGCCTTTCTCCACTGGGATATGTTGCCTTAGTGATTGCGGGAGATTTAGCCGGGGCTTATTCGTGTAGCAGTTCGATACATGGTAAAAAAATAAAATTAAAATTTAACGAGTAAAATTAGCGTTCGTAGAGTTGTAAAAAAAGTAGATTCATTTTCTTTTGAAGATATTTGAAAATAGCTGTTTTGTTAAAATTTTGAAGTTAAATTTTATGATAAATTACATTTTTCCTCCATCCTAATTTAGGTCTTACATTATTATTTATTTGGGGTGTGGGATAGACTTACCTCCACGTGGTGCACCCTGAGCAACGTATACTCATACGGCGAAAAGTCTATTAACTGGCAGGTGACTTCTCACTTCAAACCACCATGACCCCACTCTATGTCATATACCACCACTTCCGCATTATTTACCATACCTTTTCTCTGCCTTTGTGCCTGTCTCTTTTACATCTTTAAAACACTCATCTGTCCCCCCCAAATCTCGACTTTTTTCGATTTGATGTTCCTCTCCCTCTGTGAAGCCTGAAGTTAACTAAAGTGCTAATGATAACTATGCATGCCATTTGGTATAAATAAATAAATTATTATTTATTTACATTATTATTTATATCAAATGGCAGGCGTTAGAAGTAGTCGAATATGACATGCAGTGGGGTCATGGCAGTTTGAAGTGAGAAATCAACAGCCGGTTTATAGACATTATATACGTTGCCCAGGGCGCACCACGTGGAGGTAAGTCTATGGCACACCCCAAAAAGTAACCCACATAACTGTCCATCTTCTCATGCCGTAACCAGAATTCGAACCTGGGTTCTGGCGGCCACAACGCGATGTCCTAACCACTAGACTATTACGGCCATCTCTAGAATTATAAATGACATTGACGTAATTTGATTTTGGCTAATAAAACTAGTAGGAAAAAATGAAGAAAATTAAGTAAAAACTAAATGTATTTTGGAATCATTTGTTTATGTAGCGGTTGCTAACTTCGAAATTACTAAAACAATTATTTTGAAACCCACTTGATCAGAGAGAAGGATCGACATATTCAAATATAATGCCAATTTTACTCAATTAACAACTGAATGCCTTCTCTGAATCTATTACCACCCAATAAATTTTAATATTTCAAATGAGTACAGTCAATGCAATGAGACTGGGTGTGGCCCGTATTTACTCCCTTCTTGGGGGTATGCACCTAAAAAAGAGATTAAAGTATTGTGAATAAGTTTTAGGTCGAACAGGTAAGTTTAGAAACTTGAGGACATGAATTCACAAAGACATCCACGTGTTTGATCAAGACAAATGAGCTCTGTAGCATTCGAACACTAGGAAAGAAATTTTTTCACAACTGAGAAACTAAGATGAGACTTTACATCAGGAAGCATTATATGTATCTGCACTCAAACCCCACCCTGTCTCATCTGTTCCTGAAATGCTTCGCCACTTTTTGCACCAGAACGCTATGGCTTGAATAATTTGGTGTTCTTTAAATTCTTCTGTACAGTAATAATAACCATTCCGAAACCTAAGTCATTTCAATTTAAATGGAAAAAAGAACATTTTTTCAATTTGGACTTTAATTAGAATCAATAATTCTTGTTACTTTAAGATGGTCTAATTCTATACCAGAGTATTTTATTGTATTTTACGCACACCGTAAATGGTTATTGGTAGTTTTTACTGATTCTCATAGTAGGGTCGATCGCTCACATTAACTAGTATATAGGCCTTCCCTAAGCATTTTCATACGAAATCGGAGAGAAAGGTCACTTAACTTGAGATGATATTATAAATACAAACATTCAATCATTGTATCGAAATATGCTAATTCTTTTGCCTTGTGTTTTAATTAAAAAGAACTGGAAATGCTCAAATATAAAGATATAAATTGGATAATCTAAAATAAAATCAACATTATAATGAACTTTTTTTCAGGATTGTGTATAGTAGTGACTAGTTATGCTATTCTTTCCCTTTATTAACTGATGTTAACAATATTGTTTTGTAAGCATTTGAGATGCTTGAGTACGGCTATAAATCACTTGAGATACTCCTTAAAAGCGTTTTGTAATAAAATACTAACACCCTAGTCTATCCTTATCTCCACACTAAAATTGACCTTAATTGGGGTGTGCGATAGACTTACCTCCACGTGATGCACCCTGGGCAGCGTATCCTCATACGGCAAAAAAGTCTATTAACTGGCAGTTGTTGCGATAGACTTACCTCCACGTGATGCACCCTGGGCAGCGTATCCTCATACGGCAAAAAAGTCTATTAACTGGCAGTTGACTCCTGACATTAAATTACGATGACCCTACTGTATGTCATATTCGACACCTTCCACAGTACTCATTTTACCTTTTCTATGCCTTTGTGTCCGTCTGTCTGTCTCTTTTACATCTGTGAATCATTATTCTGCCCCCCCCCCCCTCCTCTCCACTGTTTGTCACATTGATGTTCGTTCCCTCTGTGAAGCTCGAAGTCAACTGAAGGGCTAATGATAACTATCAAAACGCCTGACATTTGAAATAAATATGTTTGACCCCAATCTTGGAATATAACATCAATACGCGATCGCTGGTTCTCCTTGGGCGTTCTGCATGGTGGCAGATGCTGCCAATCTTATCTAAAAAAAGGTGGAAAATTAAATAATTAATTTTATTTCAGACTCAATTTACTTGCCTTTTAGGTACATATTAATATTTAGATTACATTTTTATCATATGCGATAGGAATGAACTAAAGTGATAGTAAGTCGCAATTTTATCTACAGTGGGAATACCGCTCGGTGTGAAGACCTCATGAAATGGAATGCCTCACACTGATCTAACCTTCTTTTTTTCAAGGTTAGGAGGAAATTTATTATGGAAATATCATAGCTGTGTCGTCACTGAAAATATTACAATTACTTAGTAAATTGCTTTTCACAATCTTAAAACAAAAACATTACAAGTCTTGCTCGGATTGTTTACTTTCTTTTAAGTTCGTTTTATCGTGCCCTTTCCAAATGCAAGTTAAGTTAAAGCTGCCATCTGTTCCAAAGACCTCTCAAAATTTTGTTTTAAAAGATTTGGCATTGGCTTTTAACTTAATAAAAACACCGATTATTTAGCCTGTATTTCCGTTTATTCGTGAATATGAAATCAGTTGTGAATAGGGAAGGTGGGAGTTAAAATGGAAGAAGCGAGGGGTTGGACAGTGTACATATCAGTGTTAAATTATGTGAGATTGGGGTGGGAATTCGGGTAATCGAGATGAGCCATTTGGGTTTGGGGATGGGGGAGATTTGGAGGTTCTCTGTTTTGCATATACACACACATACTCACACACATACTTATCCCAAATCTAATTCGGGGAGAAAAAGGGACAAAAAGGATCTGTTTGACGCGTAGGCACAATGAATAAAAGTTTACTGTTTTGGATTGAGAGGTGTCTCTTGGGTGTACTGATTTGCAGCCCTATAATACCGCCACAGAACCGCTCAAGGGTTTGCTCGATTTCACTACGTCAAGTGGATTCGACGAAGTCTGCAATAAAAAAATATACGACGTTTATACATTTCTAACATTCACCAAAAAATCTCCATTTAGGCTATTATTGCATTGGCTAATGTCAATTTGAAATAATTATTGTATTTAGTCAAGATATATTCATCCCTGAGAAAACCCATACCCAGATTGTGGGAAACTCGAGTAGGTGAACTCTGCTATGTAAAGTACATCACACTACGTTCCAAGAAATTGCTCAAGATCTTGTAAAATTAAGCTGCTTTTGCGGTTTTCAAAGAAGTAATGAAATCAAGTGGCGAAATCGATCATTATAATCGAGCAACCAGTCAGCAGACATTTTATTCTGCCTAATTACTCGGAGGATTAGAATTGATGATATTAATTATCAAGTTCCCCTTAGGTGAAGATTTCACAATTCATATCCGAACGAAAAATATAGATTGACTCTTTATTTTGACGCTTTCTGGTTGTTTCCAACAAAATTTCAACTACTAACTCTTTAACGCCCTTGGTACCCTAAGATCCTCTTATAAAATACGCTCAATTAGTACTAATCTCATAGCAGTAAACGCTTTTGTCGTTTGAAGCGCGTTCAATACGTGTCTATGACCTTCGCCTGATACCACCACCAAAACTCATCACGTCGGCGGCATCAGTCGCCTGTGAGACTTGCATCAGTGCAGTTGGGGGCTTTTTTTAAAAAAAAAATAAATAGAGCGTTTAAGGGTTAAACGTTAGCCGATTCATCTACTTTCCCAAAATGAAAAATCATGATTTTTTCCTATTAGATGGCTGGGTGACATGAGACGACATAATATTTACACCTTTGGACAAATATGATTTAGGCAACTAGCATATAAGCCTAGTAACAAGACCGGAATAGGTGGATGTCTAACTTCTGACCAGATACTGGTAGATTTAAGTCAATAGATGGTATTGAACAAATATGCCTCAGTAAGTTCATGAATAAATTCTTTCAATGAATTCTGGGAGTATTATTTAGAGATACGCATAGAACCGAGTTGAATTTTTGTTAGCTGAAATTATCTAAATCGAATCGATAATAAAAACTCTAGTGGAGGCTCTTCGATTTTCTTCAGTTTTGCCGACGAAAATACTTCTATCTAAGGGCCGATTTTATTTGTAAAGTCTCAAATATCTAATCAGTCGATTCCTTGAAATTGCTTCATAACTGAAAGGGGTATAAGAAAAAAGTGAGTTCTATCATCCTGGCATCAGGTTCCTTGCTGAATCGTATTATGTGAAAATTTAAAAGTAAAATACGTCTATTATACTGCTGTATTTTTATTCGATATTTACACATAACAGAGGGCTTCAGGATAATTATTTTCTGAAGTATTTCAGTTGTGGCACCATTCAAAATATTGCGGCAAAGATGAAATGAGCATTAAATTGTTTTTTTCATCTCTCTACAAGTCCTCCACCCCCCCCTTATGAAAGAGAATGAACTCTAAGTGTCTTAATCTTTCTCTTTGCCTAGCAACCTGATCTACCTTGCAGAATAGTAACCACTTTCCGTTGAAATTTTAAAAATACACTTTGAAAGAAGAGAAATGCCTACTTAAAATCTACAGTGGCACTATGCAAAATGTATTGCCGTATTTTCGGATTAAAAAGTGCGATAGGGATGAGAATCATTGATAGGTCTTGAAATATTTGCAATTATTAGAATTATAACAGCTAAAATATTAAATTATCCAAAATAAGAGTTACTTTAAACTAATTTAAATAAAAATCGAAAATGTTTTTTTGAATCTCGATGACGTTAATAATCCCGTTCAAACATGATCTGAATAATTTTGAACTTCAATTTATCAGAAAACTGAATGAAGCATCTAAAATTCTTCATTTAGTAAACTAGCTCAATGGATTGAAAAGTGAGAACAAACTTTAACGAAATTCTCGGAAGTTTAAAAACTAAAATCTTAAATCTAATAATTTAATTTTTTCTAATAAGATGAATAAAATTTCCACTTTCAATGATAAATAAAAGGCTTGTATTAGTCCAATCGCATTTTGAAACTAAAATAGTAAAGAATAATTGAAGAAAATTATGTCATTTCTAATTTACACACGTAAAACACGGACTAATTGTAAATCTTGTATATAATTCTAGTCAAGATTTAAACAATCGTTTTATTTCTATCGCAAATTGCTATAGACAGAGAAGACTGTACTTAACTTTGTAATTTTGCAGGCACAGCAAAATGTCTTGTAGGCCGAAATTTAAAGAGAGAGAAAGGTTTCGATGCATAACGAAGAGCCGAATTGTCTTTTGGAGCTAATTGTATGAATAATATTAAGGCTAGATAGTAATCAAAAGATTTTTGCCTTTACCATGTCAACTCTGGAGCCGTTAATATTGGAGAAAGGAGTATTTTGTCTTTCCTCTTTTGAACAATTCCTTTCTCAGTTTGAATCAACCGATGGATAGATTTCAAGTGTAGTTTGAATAACTTACTATCTCAAACTTTATGATAGATGCCTTTGGTTTGCTTCACTTTCTAAATTTAGAATTCTCGTCACTTCTGTCGTTAATTTTACATCATCTTAGTATGAAAACTGGAATCATTTATTTGCTCATTACTTACCACATGACTCACATAGAACCGTCGTTCACTTGAAGTTCTGATAATCGTAAGTTGACTCCCATTTTCACTTCTGGCTTTCCTTTCAGGCACTAGGAGCTGTTCTGTGTCCGGAGGCATCAACCGTGTAGGACAGTATGAGTTTCTGCGCACCAATCCGCAAGTACTATTAACAGAAGTTGCCACAGCTGAAAGTGCCTCTGAAGATCGTGGGTAAACTGAAGCGACATCAGGAGTCCTTTTCCTTCTCCGTCTCTTTTTTTTGACTGGTGTTTCAATATCTTCCGTGTCACCCTCCGCACTGTAACAACTTTCCATCACTTCCGAATGCTCATCCATATCGTGAGCCTCGATTTCATTGATCTGAAGAATTGGTGGATATGTGGTGGTAATGGATTGAGGTTGGGGACTAACTGCGTCTCCAGGGAGAGGTGAAACCTGTTGATGAACAGAAGTTACGTGCGTAGATGCTGACTCAGATTCATCTGTATCGAAGGCCGCATTGGTCACTTGATGGTGTTTCTGGTGGAGAAGATTGAAGTTCGATCTTCGTGAAAAGTGAAAATTTAATTTATCCAACGGACCCAGCGTCTGTCGCCGATTGCTATTTAATGGATGTGCTCCAAAACTAGAAAATTGATAATGCTTTATTAAAATTTAATAAATTATCTAAATTTTAAATCATCTTACTCTATTTTAAGCATGCACATTTTGCCACTCTTCAGATTATTTTTATTTCGCATTACAAATTGTAAGCTTCATCTTGAATTCTGTAGTCTTTTTTCATGAAAATCATTTGAGAAAAAAGTGCAAATTCACTCACAATTGTCCATTTTCATCAGACAATAAATATTTTGCATCCGGGGTGTGTGATAGACTTACCTCTACGTGGTACACCCTGGGCAACGTATACTCATACGGCAAAAAGGTCTATTAACTGGTAGTTGACTTCTGAATTCTAACTACCATCACCCCACTGTATGTCATATTCCACCATTTCAGCAGATCTCGCCTCACCTTTTACTCAACATTTTGCCTGTCTGTCTCTTCTACATCTGTGATTCATTACTCTGTCCCCCCTCTCGACTTTTTTTCACTTTGATGTTCCCCCCTCCTCCTCTGTGAAGCCTGAAGTCGGCTAAAGGGCTAATGATAACCATCAAAATGCCTGCCATTTGAAATAAATAAATATTTTGCATCCGACCAGCAGTAATCTGTGATATTGTTAAGAATTTTATATTTCGACATACCTATGGACAGAGTATGTGTCTAGAAAACCCTTCCTTATTTATGTGGTTTGGGTTAATCCTACGTGAGGCAAATCCTACAAGCACAACCTTTTTTTGCACCATAATTGCATAGTTGCATCCGTTTGTCCTACATTGAGGCAGATAACTATGCAGCTTAGGATGATAGGTTTCAGGCATATTAGGAAACATGGCTAGTGACTTACATCAGTCAAAATCCCAGTTAGCGCCACGGTAGTGACCCTAGGAGAAAACACCTTATTCTCTCCACCTGTCATTCGCACCTGCTAATCCTGTTTGCACTCTACAACCTGTCATTATTTCTGCACAACTATCAGTTCATTTTTTTATGTCACCCCAAAGAGTTTTTTGGAAATATGTTCAAATTTGATGGAAGCAGGCAGATGACCAAAAATGTGCGAACATATCGTGCTTATTTGTTCGCCTTTTGAGATAAGCGCTGTCGGCCAACAATTTCGTGCAAAGCAGATTAGACACGTGGTGGGAGATTTAAACTGTGCGATTAGATAACCGAACGGGCTTTACTATCGCCTAAAAATAATTATCTAAGGGCGGAAATTATGTTCAAAATCATAATACTTGGAAATAATATAAATGATATAATATTCACATTTTGGCCAGTAATTTGGCCTTAGTGAAATCATAAATGAAAAGCGAAATCGAAAAGATGAAAAAGGATGATGGATATCTGGTTAAAACAATATAATCTCTTTACCAAATTGACTCAATGTATGAATTCTCTTCATTTTTACATTGTGCAACAGGCAAGAGCAAAATCACATGGCTAACATGCGAAGGTTAACGTATAGGCGAAGTGCAAATAAAAAATACACAAGCAAAGCTATTGACAGCCTATTATATCAAGACATTTGACAATTCGATTCGTGTTCAAAGTCAACAATTTTACAGAGTGCTCAAACACTGTCACGCCGGCACCTTCACAACATATTACCTGATTTCGATGAAGTACTTCAGTCTGTACCGACTGTGATGAAGATATACGAAAATATTAGGTTGGCAACTAAGTCATTGCCGATTTTAAATA